GTTGGGGAGGCAAAGGGGGAGAAAAACAATAAATTAAATCAAAGGATGAGAGACATCATGGTAGGACAGGTGGAGTCATTCATTCCCAAGTTTTGTCCAAGTCTTGGGCTTGATCAAAAAACTTTGTGGGTGAGGTAGCTCAAAAGGCTGTGTTGTCAGTATCTCTCATTTAACCAGCAGTGTCCTCAGGCCTGAGGCTGTAGGGAGGAGGTGGTTCTACAGGCTTCATGATGACCTGCAGGGGGGGAAGGGGACTTAGCTTGCTTCAGGCGCCTGCCTAAGGAATGATGAAGTTGTTAGCAGCCCTCCCCAGTCTGTGACTTCAACAAGTTGGATAGCCAGCTATGAAACAAGTTAAGGATTGGGACAGAAAGACTCACCTGATCATAGGGTGGTGGGGGATCCAAGGTGGGGACCCAGATCTCTAGGGGAGCCGTGGTCGGGGCTTCTGGAGGTGTCTGATGATGGCTTCTGAGGTTCTGCTCTGGAGGTCTGCACTTGCAACAGAATTGCTTCATCAGGCCGCAGATGCAGAACAGAGGTATCATGGCCAGGAAGACGATAAACAGGATCCTGGGGAGGGAATGATTTCTCCCTGAGTGACTATACCACTCTCCTCCATCACCCACCCCCATCCTATTTCAGGTGGACCCAGCCCTGAATGGTACCCTAGTAGGCCTGACCCTGGCTTACCTTAAATCTTCGTTTGAAAAATCCCAAATGGTTTCCTTCTGCAGGCAGCATCCACTCTCACAGCATCTGATGACTTTTGTGCAGGTTCTGGTCAAGTCAGACAGAGATGGGGAGACACAGATGGCATCCAAAGTGTCAGAACAAAGGGTCCTTGCCTCCCCAGACACCTAAACCCTCAGGTTGCAAGTCATCCTTCGTGGGTGTGGGGTATAGATCCATCTTGGTTTCACTGGGAGGAACTGAGGCCTGGACTTGAGACCTGAGTTCAGGGTTACTCAGGCAGAATGACCATGCCAGTCAATCAATCTTGAATGGCAGGTTTGTGGCTCCAGGTAACAACGGTAAGGCATTAACAGGAGCAACAGACTTGCCCCAGTCATGCAGTTCCCAATGTTGGGTGGTAGGAATGGGGTATGGTTTCAGGAAAAGCAGGAAGAGTTAGGAGGAGGTATCTGTGTCCTTGTCCAGGGCAGATCTGAGCATACCATCACCCACCACCACCACCAACTACACCCCACCCAACCCCAACATTGATTGACTAGAGCTAAGTCCCATACTTACAAGGTGTCACAGTTAGCTTTAGTCTTTGGAAAAAAAATAGGCAGAGGTTAGATCTTAAAAACTGGGAGTTGGGTCTTTTGTCTTAGAGTATTTGCCCAACACACACTAGGTGTTGGCTTCAATTCCCAGCAATGGCAATAAATCAGCTGTGCATAAACCAGAATAGCAATACATGGCCACAGTCCCAGAACTCAAGAAGGCAGGAGAATCATTCAATGCTACATAGACAATTTGAGGCCCGATTAGATACCAGAATAAGACCCTTTCTCAAAAAGAAAAACCAGAGGCTAGTCTCAGACATCTAGGGCAGTGAATATCAGACTGACTCTGCCTCCCTCTAGCTCCATGTCCATGGTAAATGATTGGAGCCTACCTCTGCCTCCCGTGTTTGTATTGAAGGCATGCACTACCATGTCTGACTCCCTCACTTCTTCTTACTGAGACAGGCAGGGTCTCACTAGGTGTCCCTGGCTAGCCAGGAATTCAGAAGTCTACCTATCTCCACCTCCAGTCCGCTGGATTAAAGGTGTGGAACACTATTACCTGGCTCCCAGGTAATTCCCCCTGCCACACCCACAGGGTTGTCCATTGGTCCAGGAAGCCACCTGGTGTGGATCCCTGACTCCAAAACCTCCAGAAAGCAATCTAAGCCCCCCCAACTCCCACCCCACCCCACCCCCTGGCTCTCCATGTCCAAGGTAGAGGCATTTCTATCAGTTTCCTGAACACACTCAAGCCCCATTCATCCTGATGTCCTTGCTGGGAATTCAGGGCCTCTATATGAATTCCATCTTGTCTAAGATCTTAATTAGGTCTCTCTTCTACATGTCCTCAAGGCATCTCTCTGTGGCCACATCATTTAAAATGACAACCATTGCCTGCTGTGGTGGTCCTTGCCTTTAATCCCAGCATACTGGAGGCAGAGGCAGGTGGATATGTTAGTTTGAGGCCAGCTTGGCTTCCCTAGCAATTTATAGAGAAGCCAGGACTAGACCCTGTCTCAACAGATATGGAATGGGAAGCCAGGCTTGACTGTGCTACTGATCATTACAATAGCATTTTAAGAGCAAAGACAAGGGAACCAGTGATGGTCACAGGCTTACAGCAGCACTGTTCTCTAGTGTGGAAAGATGTAGGAAGAAATTAAAGATACAGCAAGGGGCCCAGGAACTCAGTCACATCCCCTGCTCTTCCAAATCTCAGACTCTGCCCACTCCCCACTCTCCTGGTTTCTCTGTGTTACCCCAGGCCCTGGAACTTACTCTATAGAGCAGACTGGCCTCAAACTCAGATCTGCCTGTCTCTGTGTCCTGAGTGTTGGGATTAAAGGCATGAGCCACCACTACCCAGTTCCTGTATTATATTTAAGCCCTGGTAACTGTGGTCACACCATCTTTCTTTAATTCCAGCCCAGTTTTAATGCCAGGGCTGAGGTAGGAAAGACAGATATCTGTTGAGTTCTAGACCATTCTTATGTATATAGGTATATACTTTTACAACTTCCCTCACCTATGGGTCCCAGCGTCAGAATGGGTGCGGAGTTAACACACCTGAGATGGGCCAGACTAAGGCTTCTAGCCTGGAGCTCAGGTAGACTAGAAGTGGAGAGGAGCTGAACTTGCTTGAGTCTGAGGCATTGAGACGTGGGAATGCGTTGATTTAAGTAGTAAGTGGGATGTTGCAGAGCACTATGGGAATCCCTGGTCTGAGCAGTATTTAAATAGTTAGAGTAGGGTGTGGTGACACCAATCTTTAATCCCAGAATACAGAATGTCTCTGTGAGTCCTAAGCCAGTATGGTCTACCTAATGAGATTCTGGCCAGCTAGTATTAAATAATAATAATGGTAGTAGTAATAGTAAATTAAATCGAAATCACATGGTGGTGGCACACACCTTTAATCCAACACTCAGGAGACAGGTGCAGGAGGATCTCTGTGAGTTCAAGGCCATCCTAGTTTAAAGAGTGAATTCCAGGACAGCCGTGGCTGCAGAGAATCCATGTTTCAAAAATACATAGAAAAAAAGAAAAAAGAAAAGACCAAAGAGGGGAAGGTAGGCAAGGGGGAAGGGTGATGACTCAGGGGTTAAAAGCACCTGTCCTTGGATCTGGGTTGGGTTTCCAGCATCTACATACATGATGGCTCTCAAGCAGGAGAGGACAGCCACTTCTGAACTCTGAGAACACCAGGTATGCACATGGTGCTCATACATATATGCAATAAAATACATACAGAAAATGAAATAACTATTTTTTGTTTGTTTTTTGTTTTTCAAGACAGGGTTTCTTTGTAGGTTTGGAGACTGTCCTGGAACTCTCTTTGAAGACCAAGCTGGCCTGGAACTCACAGAGATCGGCCTGCCTCTTCCTCTTGAGTGCTGGGATTAAAGGCATGTGCCACCACCGCCCAATGAAATAACTAAATCTTAAACAAAAACAAAAAACCCCAGCAGGTCCAGTCAGATGAACCAATGGGTATAGATGCTTTCCACCAAGCCTGAAAACATGAATTTTGTTTTTTGAGACAGGATTTCTTTATACAGTCTTTTCTGTCCTGGAACTTACCATATAGACCATGCTGGCCTCAAACTCCCAGAGAACTCTCTGCCTCTGCCTCTGCCTCTGCCTCTGCCTCTGCCTCTGCCTCTGCCTCTGCCTCTGCCTCTGCCTCTGCCTCTGCCTCTGCCTCTGAGTGCTGGGATAAAGTTATGGGTCACCACCAGATTTTTGTTATTGTTTTTGCTTATATTTTTGGAGATACAGTTTCTCTGTGTAGCCCTGGCTGTCCTGGAACTTATAGATCAGGCTAACCTTGAACTCAGAGACCCACTTGCCTCTGCCTCCCAGGGCTGGAATTAAAGTCGTGTGCCACCACCACCCAGAATAAAAATATCTTTAAAATAAAAATTTGAAGGAACAGCTCAAGACTGCTGAATTATGCCTTGTTACTCCCCACCCCACCCTTTTATCTCACACAAAATGAGGGGTGCTGTACCTGCCCAGAGATGAGAGGCCTGCAACGGGAGGTATGCAGAGATTTCAGAAAGACAGGCAAGGAACAAGAGGGATAGTGGGGGGTGGGGGGCATATAAAGGGTGCATTCCTTTGTGCTTTGCCCAAGAAGGGAGGAAAAGCCCAGCATAGCATCCCCATTATTGAGACAATTAATGTCCCTTCCCTTTTGCAACTTTGTGGGGAGTTGTTGGCTCATTTCCTTTCTGATTAAAAAAAATGAGACTAAAGACTTATTTAGGAAACTGAGGCTAAGGTCTTGTCCACTATGGTCAAAAAGTGGAGAGCCCTCAAGTAGCTCGGGCAGGTCAGGTGGGATTCCTGGTAGGACTCAGGCGGTCAGAGTCTGGCCGCCAGGTGGCAGCATCGCCCAGCACGAAAGTGCGCCCAGGGATTGGGCCTCTAGCAAGAACAGGCAGACAGGTGGTGCGTGATGACTGTCGAGAGTGGAAGAGAGACATGTAGCAATCTAGCCCCGGGAAAGGGCGCAATGATGTGGTGGCCGGGGCGCTGCCTGGTCTGTGGACGTAGGAAGGTCAATCTGGCAGGCTCTGGTGTGGTTTCATCCCCAACTACCGGTCCACTTTGACTTGACCGCCGGCAAACAGCTGGCATCTTGGAGCCCTCTCCTGCCTTCTGGTCCCCTTTTCTCGGTCATACTAAGAGACTTTCTCCAAGCTTCTCCTTTTCCCCCAGGCTCCGTTTTCCGATTTCAGCATTTCGCCATGTCCAGAGGCACCGATTTGGGAGCCTCTGTTTCCCGCTCTTGTTCTCTCTGTCACCCACTGTAGGTCAGTGGAGGAAGGAGACTTGACAGCTTTGGTCCTGCATTCCACGCCCACCCCTTCTGTCGCTCAGGGCCTCCAGCTCCATCATTCTCCACGGAATAGGTCTCTGGTCTCTCTCCCATTTTCTGCCTCTGTTTCTCATTATCCCTTGGTCCTTTTTACTTCTTAAAAACAGAACCTTCCAGTGCTAAGCCAAGTGCAATTGGGAGCTGGTCCCCAGAGACTCCCCTCTCTAATGGCAATCGGTGGGAGAAATGGGAGTCTGTCTCTTGCCACCCTTTCCCCCTTCCTGCAGTTAATATTGGAGTATGACTAGTGCTTCCTGCCCCCAGCCAAAAAGGAACTTTTTGGGAGAGTGCTGAAACTTCCTGACAACACTCACACTTCTGCCTCTTGTGTGAAATTGTTAAACTAACTTGGACTTCTGACCTCCTGGCCCTGCCCAAGCCACAGTGTCTCAGCACCCGTGTCCTGAGTTATACTTCCTCGCTCATCCCCTGCTGCCTGCCAACCTGCCCAG